CTTCAGCACAACTTTTCTATTAATTGAGTGTGTGTTGGCTTCTTGTGCAATGTTATGACGTTAATTAATCAAATTTCTTTTGCACGCATGGTATGTAAATATGTAACAATTGATTAATTGGTATGTATGTGAATCTCCTACGCAAGAAAATAATATAAAATTTATGCTACTTGCCCACTTTTACTCTCTCAATTGCTAAATAATTAGGTTGCCAAGTGGGATACTTCACCAAAAAGATATCATAGCTAAACAGACTTGAATTCTTTTTTCCATCTTCTTCTCCCGTCCACAAACCTCCTTCCAATCGTTTTCTTTTTCCCGCATCAAACCCTAATAAATCAAACAAACCCTTCCCTTCCCCCCCATATCATCATCATACATATAACACTTCAATCCCCCTCCAAATAATTCTCCCAAACTCTCCCCACCAAAATGAATCAAAACCCAAAGCTTCATCCCCACAATTTCCCAAACCAACCAAACCCTAAACCTAACAAGAATCATGAGCCACTCAAAGTTGTTTACTTCTCCAATCCCATACGAGTCACCACCAGCGCCGCCGGCTTCCGCGGCGTCGTTCAGGAGCTCACCGGCCGGGACTCCGACATCGCCGAGATCCTCACCCGCCAACCCCCCATAAGCACTCCGGCGGCGAGTTGCGATTCACCGATATCCGCACGCCGGCGAAGTTCGGGGACCGGCGAGGCGGATGGGGATGACTCTTTTAAGTTGATGGATGAGTGGTTTGGAGGCACAGATGATTATTTTGCTGGCCTGCTTCCTATCTCTCTTCTCTTTGATGTGGAGTGAAATTGAATTGTTTGGTGGTTTGAGTTTCTACCTACTTGTTACATACTCTAAATAAGTTGATCTACACAGAGATGTAGCTATATATTATTTAAATTTTTATATTTATTTGTATAATACCTTAAATTTTAGATATTAAATATGAAAATATATAGAAATTTAGGGATATTATAATATTTTAAATAAAATAATGCTTGCATGCATGTTTATGGGTGATGCTTTGTATAATATATAT